GAGTCTAAAGAAAGTGCAGAGCCTGGAATATTACATCCCCTGCTAAACAAGAAATTTATTTAGAAAAGAGCAGTTTCTGACCATCCATCTTTACTGCTAATCCTTGATTTCATGATTTTAATTTATGGACACTAGCTATTTTACCAGGTGCTTCTTAGAAGTTAACAGATTACTTTAAGTGTATAATTATGTTTTTCCGAATCATATAGGTTTGAAACATAATTCATTACCTAAACTAGGGTGAACAGCAAGCTAAGGACTGCAATACATCAGAAGCAGTGACAAGTTGTCTTGTGTGACGTGCCTAATTAATCATATACTTCTGGTGAAAGCTTTGTCCTTGCAAAATAATTTTGTGGGCAGAACAAATGACACAAATTTAAACTGGTTTAAAATTGAAGTTAAGGATGTACTGACTAATGGCAGTTTTGATATGAGCCATATTGGACCTCAGATTTTAAACCAGTAGAATTTGTTGCAGTGACTTGTTTTAAAGTTTCTTCAAGGATTTAACTACTTGCTTTATTTAATTGATGATTTATTATTTTATGTTAAAAAATGAATTGTTGTTTGTACTTATTCTGGGTGTTAGAGTATGAGGCTTGATAAGCTCTTAAAAAATTGTGGGTACAATAAAAGTGTAACTTATATAATTATAAAGGTTTTCTTTTTTTTTTGTAATATTGACAGCTAAAGATTGGGAAATAATTCAGGAAAAAAAATTTTATAAGGACAGGAAAAAGTAGGTGAATTTTGTTGTGAGATAGTAAAGATTGCAAGGATAAAATGGTTAGGAGAAACTGAAATTATCAACCTCCTGTATTGGTACCACTGATGAATGAAAGAAGTTTTTTTAGTTTTCAGTAACATTGACCTTCAAATGACAAATTCCTTCTTCATGAAGGCTTTTTGTTTTTTGTTCATGACACTATGTAATGAGCCTGATATAGTCAATAGGTATGCACAGAGGTATGTTCATGTCACATGAAGGGTGAATATAAAGCATTTGTATAGAAATGAGTTAAAATCTAATGATCTAATGAAAGTCAGGGCTAGACTTTCTTGCTTATATTTGTTTCTTTGCATCTTATGAGTTTTCCAGGCTAATTAACTCACAGAGGTTCGTTTGCCAATCAATTTGAAGCTTTAACTTCCATACT